TGCTGGCATCCCGTATGGGTGTTGGTTCAAGTTCTGACTGGTCCACTTCTGATCCAGCTCTCTGCTGTGGCCTAGGAAAACAGTAGAGGATAACCCAAGTCCCTGGGCCCCTGTACCTGCATGGGAGACTAGGAAGAAGCTCCCAGCCTTGGGTCAGCGTAGCTCTGCCATTGCAGCCATTTGAGGAGTGAGCCAGTGGCAAATGGAAGACCTCTCTTTCTGCCTCTGCTTCTCTGTAACCCTGCATTTCAAATAAATAAATAAATAAATCCTTTTAAAAAAAAAAAAAAAGTGTAGCATCATAGCCAGCAGTTTAATCTGCTATGCTACACTGCTAGCTCTCCTTAGGGTAAAGCCTATAATTCACCATCCTAGTCACAAAGTATTCTGCAGACTACTCCCACCACCTTTCTCTTCCCATTTTCCTGCCTCAGTTCCTGCAATACTGCTAGCCTGTCTGTGTTTTTGCTTCCAATATTTGCTCACTCCTTTGCCTGAAAAACCCTTTTTTTTTTAAGAATTATTTTTTATTTCTTTGAAAGACAGAGTTACAGAAGAGGTAGAGCCAGAGAAAGAGAGAGAGGTCTTCCATTCTACTGGTTCACTCCCCAAATGACCACAACAGCCAGAGCTGAGCTGATCAGGAGCCAGGAGCTTCCTCCAGGTCTCCCACAGGACTTGGGCCATCTTCTACTGCTTTCCCAGGTCATAGCAGAGAGCTGGATTGGAAGTGGAGCTGGAGCAGCCAGGACTCGAACCGGCGCCCATATGAGATGCTGATGCAGCAGGCTGGGGCTTTAACCCACTGCGCCACAGTGCCAGCCCCTGAAAAACCCTTCTTGGGGTGGCAAACTCCTGATGAATGTGATCTCTCCCTTGGCCTCTAACCCCATCCAGGGTTGGCCTCCCTAGCAGGCTTGCTGTGATTTTTGGCTGGTGAAGAAGAAAGTCAGTTTTCAGGTTCTAAATTTGATTCCCATACCCTGAGGCTTACCTGGGAAGATCTTGTTTTTCTGACTTTGAATTGGAATTTAATCAGGTCAAGGTCTGAGGAAAATTCTTTTATCTCTTCTGCTGGTTTCTTTTTTGATTTGAATATATGACCTGTGCTCCTAATCCCTTTGTTTTATTTATTTATTTTTTGACAGGCAGAGTGGACAGTGAGAGAGAGAGACAGAGAAAGGTCTTCCTTTACCGTTGGTTCACCCTCCAATGGCTGCTGCAGCTGGCGTGCTGCGGCCGGCGCACCGCGCTGATCCGAAGCCAGGAGCCAGGTACTTCTCCTGGTCTCCCATGTGGGTGCAGCACAATCTGACCTTCCATAATATACAGAATTTTTTAATTTTAAAAATTTGTATATTTTCACTTTATTTGAAAGGCCAACAGACAAAACTGTCCACCAGTTCACTCCCCAAATGCCCACAACAGCCAGAGCTAGGCCAGGCTGAAGTCAGCAGCCAGGAATAGGGACCCAAGTACTTGAGCCATCATATGCTGCCTCACAGGGTATGAATTAGAAAGAAACTGGAATCAGGATCATACCTGGGACTCAGACATAGGCATTCTGACAGGATGCAGGTAGCCCAAGCAGCATCTTAACTGCTATACCAAATTCCCAGCCTGATTAAATAGTGAATTTTATATTTTAACATAACTTTTAAAAAGTGAAATGATAATTTAAAAAATTGGTCTAGGTCTTTTCTATCTTGGGAAAGCAATTTCACTTTAACTGATATTCTCCCTTTTCTCCTCGTTCAGACTTTTTAGTTATTTTTTGGCCACTGTGCTTCTCTACCTCATGTTCACGCAGTCTTCATCTAGTTATACTCAATATGTCTTTTCTTGTGACCATACTGTGAAACCTTTTCTTGCTGTGATCACTAGTTCAGATAACCTTGGAATAAAGGAATGCAGAAAAGAGGAAATAATGTATTCTAGTCCTTCTCTCTTAGGCCTGTTGAATTGAGCCCCAGAAGATATGGAGCTGGATTGAGGAGGAGGTTGTACATTTGTGGATGTAGTAAATAACACTGAATTACTCACTTTATTTTTTTTAAAAGATTTTATTTATTTGAGAGGTAGAGTTACAGACAGAGAGAGGGAGAGATGGAGAGAAAGGTCTTTTCCATCCGGTGGTTCACTCCACAAACAGCTGCAATGGCCAGAGCTAAGTTGATCCAAAGGCAGGAACTCCTTCCAGGTCTCCCGCATGGGTGCAGAGGCCCAAGCACTTGGGCATCATCCTTCACTGCTTTCCCAGGCCATAAGCAGAGAGCTGGATCGGAAGAGGGGTAGCCAGGATACAAACCAGCACCTATCTGGGATGCCAGTGCTGCAGGCGGAGGCTTAACCTACTATGCCACAGCGCCAGCCCCACTTTATTATTTTTTTTTAAATTTGTTTTATTTCATTTATTTGAAAGTCAGAATGACACAGAGAGGGATACATAAAGAGGATGAGATATTCTGTCCACCAGTTTACTCCCCAAATGGTTACAACAGCCGTGGCTGGGCCAGGCTAAAGCCAGAATCCAGGAACTTCCATCTGGGTCTTCCATGTGGGTGGCAGGGGCTTAAATACTTAGAAGACCATCTTCTGCTCTTCCCAGGCAGTGATCCTGAGAGCTGGATCAATAGCACAGCAACCAGGACTACAGTGTGGTATGCATCATTACAGGTAGCAACCTAACTTGCACCACAGTGCTGGCCCCTGGATTATCCACTTTAAAGATTTATTTTATTTATTTGACAGGCAGAGTTACAGAGAGAGGTAGAGACAGAGAGGTCTTCCATCCACTGGTTCACTCCCCAGATGGCCTCAGCGGCTGAAGCTGCACCGATCAGGAGCCAGGAGCTTCTTCTGGGTCTCCCACATGGGTGCAGGGGCCCAAGGACTTGGGCCATCTTCTACTGCTTTTCTAGGCCATAGCAGAGAGCTGAATCAGAAGAGGAGCAGCCGGGACTAGAACTTGTGCCCATATGGGATGCTGGTGCTTGAGGCCAGGGAGTTAGCCCGCTGGGCCACAGTGCCTGCCCCTGGATTATCCACTTTAAAGTGATTAATTTTATGTGGTGTGAATGTCACCTCAGTGACAAAAGATAAGATTCTCCATCACAGGGTGAACCAACGGCAAAGGAAGACCTTTCTCTCTCTGTCTCTCTCTCTCACTGTCCACTCTGCCTGTAAAAAAAAAAAAAAAAAAAAATTCTCCATCACTGCATGTAATTGGGCCTACAGCATCCCATCCTACAGAGCATTCTTTGAATGAATGAGTCTGTCCTAAAGACTTCCTTCCTTTTCAAAGTACTTGTTTAGGAGAAAGTGGAAAGAGTCACATTAGTCTTCATTGAGAACTGAACCTGCGACTTGTTTATCTCCAGACCCTTGACAATTCTAGGCATACAGTAAACATTTTGTTCCCAGTTAAAAAGCTGTGGTAGGTGGGGCTGCACTGCGACGTAGTGGGTAAAGTCTGCCATCTGCTGTGCTGGCATCCCATATGGGTGCCAGTTCAAGACTCGGCTGCTCCACTTCCAATCCAGCTCTCCTATGGCCTAGGAAAGCAGTAGAAGATGGCCCAAGTGCTTGGGCCCCTGCACCTGCATCGGAGACCCAGAAGAAGCTCCTGGCTCCTAGCTTCAGATCAGTTCAGCTCTGGCCGTTGCAGCCATTGGGGAGTGAACCAGTGGATGGGAGACTTCTCTCTCTGGCTCTCCCTCTCTCTATCTCTGCCTTTGCCTCTCTGTAACTCTACCGTTCAAATAAATAATAAATCTTAAAAAAAACACAAACAGTTGTGGTGGGGCAGGCATTGTAGTACAGTTACACTGCTCCTTGTGATTCTGAGTGCTGATTCAAATCTCATGTCTGAGTGCTGATTCAAATCCCAGCTACTCAGCTTCTGGTCCAACTTCCTGGTAATGTGCCTGGGGAGGCAGCAGAAGATAGCTCAAGTACATTGGCCTTTGCCACTCATGGAAGATCAGGATGACAGTCCTGGCTTCTGGCTTTGGCCTTGCCTATCACTGGCTATTGTGAGCATTTGGGGAGTGAATTAGCAGATGTAATGATACGTATCTCTCTTTCCTGTTCCTCCAACAGCCCCCCCCCCTTTAACATTTTTATTTGAAAGGCAAAGTTGCAGAGAGAGAGGGAAAGACAGACTGAGAGAGAGGTATTCCATCTGCTGTTTTAGTCCCCAAATGGTTGCAATGGCTAGGGCTGGGCCAGGCTGAACCCAGGAGCCAGGAACTTCATCTAAGTCTCCCTCGTGGGTATAGGTGCCCAAGCACTAGAACCTCTTCCATTGCTTTCCCAGAGCATTAGCAGGGAACTGGATTGGAAATGGAGCTGCCAGGACACAAAGTGGTGCCCTTATGGGATTCTGGCATTGCAGATGGTGGCTTTGCCTGCTATACCACAATGCCGGTCCCTCAGCCTTTCAAATAAATAAATCTTAAAAAACAACAAGTTGTGGTATGCTATGTAAATAAAGTTTCATTTTAATAATTACCCTTTTGATAGTTTAGGAATTTTTATACCAATAATTTGTTTCTGGTGAAGTCTGAATTGCTTATTTCAGTGTAATTTGTCACTTTTAGCTTGTGCTCTTATATTACCTTGAAATAGCATGGAGCAAGCAGGTAAAGTGGTGCAGCAATCTACTGAGAGAAACTGCTAAAATCCTTATCATAGGCAACAACTTATTTTAAAGAGTTTGGATGTAAACCTAGTAACCAAATGGAACGATGTTTTCTTTACTCTAAAATGCTAGACTACAAAGCTGATTGTCTCTGAGTTTCTATCCTTTAAACTTGTCTGAATAGGATCATTTGTCTACTGTGTTGGAAAGTAAATTATATCAAATTAAGATAGAAAAAACACCATTTTTGAGTTGTATCACATTGGTCCACTTGGAACTGTTGTCATACTTATTTGAATATAAGAGACATGGCCTCCTCTTTAAAAGACATTTATCCCTGCTTCCCCTTCTATCATAGCTTTCCATGGAATCACTTCAATCTGTTGATGTCCTCCGAGAAGAAGTTTGTGAGATCTTGGATGAAATGAGCCACAAACTGCGTCTGGGAGCCATACGGTTTTTTGCTTTTGCCCTGAGCAAAATATTTAAACAAATTTTCTCAAAGGTGTGTGTAAATGAAGAAGGTATTCAAAAAGTGAGTATTGATTGTTTAAAACCAATATCTTCTTAAACCCCGCATGATTTAGTCGACTCACAAATGTCTGCCTTGGCCAGTAAATGCCAGGGGCCTAGTCATCACGGATCCCCTCTGAACAGATAGGATATGCCTCTCTGAGGGTTGGTTTGTTTTTTCTTTTTAAGTTCAGACTTTGCACTAACTTAACTTTATGGCCTAACTTATGTCAGATGCTCACAAAAATTACAAAAGTAATACAGAGAATTTATATGCTTCATTTAGATTCCCCAAAAATATTTCCTTTATCCTTTTCCCAATACTTTTGTATGTTTTCTTATAGATAAGGATATTCTTTTATGCTGCAATAATAAAATAAATTGATATTGATGCAGTACTAGTAATACAAACTTCATTCATACTTTGGCAGTTGTCCCAATTATATCCTGCATAGATGAGAAAGTCCTCGATCATGTGTTACATTCAGCATCTCTATCTCTTTAAACTCTTAATTTAGAACAATTCCTTAGTCTTTTTGTTTGTGTTTCATTATTTTTTTTTTTTAATTTATTTTATTTGTTTGAAAAGTAGGGTTACAGAGAGAGGGAGAGATAGAGATCATCCATCTTCTGGTTTACTCCTCAAATGGCCACAACAGCCAGAGCTGGGCCAGGCCGAAGTTGGTAGCCTCCTCTGGGTCTCCCGTTTGGGTACAGGGGCCCAAGGACTTCTGCTGCTTTCCCAGGTGCACCAGCAGGGAGCTGGATCAGAAGTGGAGCAGCCAGGACTTGAATTGGCACACATATGGGATTCCAGCTTCGCAAGTGGTGACCCAACCTGCTACGCCACAGTGCCAGCCCCATGATACTTGTTTTTTAAAAAACAAGCCAACTATTTCATAGTGTCCCCTGATTTGGATTTATGTTACCTCTGCATTAGATTGTGAATCTAATGTGAAGCAATGTTGTAGTCTTCTCAATGCATCGTATTGAGAGCACATGGTGTCTGTCCTATTACTGAAGGTGCTCATTTCATCATTAATCCATAAAACTTACATTTTTAATATTCTTGCAATATGTGAAAGTGTTTAACTAGAACTCTGAAATAATGTTTTTACCTTCTCAGCCAATTAAGTTTGTGTATGATATGTAAGGTGATAAAGATGATTATTATTCCCTTTGTACATAGAGTTGTTCTGTTTTCTTATTTGAAATGTGATCTTAATAACACAACTGAAATTATTTAAAGTCTAAAATTTATTTTCAAGCTACAACGAGCCATCCAGGAGCATCCTGTTGTCTTGCTGCCTAGTCATCGAAGTTATATTGACTTTCTCATGTTGTCATTTCTTTTATACAACTATGATTTGCCTGTGCCAGTTATAGCAGCGGGAATGGGTACGTAGCTTTTCTACTTTTGTACTATGATAAATGTGTGGGTATTGTATATAAAAATAAAAATAAAATGATTCTACTGATACTGATGTCTGTGAAGATTATGATGATGAAAATAGACTCTCCTTCTTCCTTCCAATCCTAGGGTTTAACAGTTTGAATTATGTGCTTTTGTGTGGTATTTTACTTTGCACAGATATATAAAGGCATATAGGCACCAGGGTTTTTTGGTTTCGGTTTAAAAAATGAAACTTCCTGTATGTGTTACCTACTTTTTTTATTTTATATTACATTGATGAATATCTGTAGATCAATAAATAGATGTAACTATTTTTTTAAATGGTAAAATAAAGAATTTAGCAAATGCACATAATAAAAATTTACATTTTAACTATCTGTGAGTGTGCAGTTCATTGGCATAAAGTACATTCATATTGTTGGACTGTCATTACCACCACCCATTCACAAAACTTATCATCTTGAAAAATTGAAACTCTGGACCATTAAACAGCAACTCCTCATTCTACCTTCCCTGTCCCCAGGCAACCACCTTTCTACTTTCTGTTTGTGGATTTGGCTATTCTATACTTCGTATAAGTGAACTCACAAAATATTTGTCCTTTTGTGACTGGTGTTGACTCAGCATAATGCTCTCAAGTCCGTCCATGCTGCAGCATGTGTCAGGATTTCTTTTTAAAAAGTTGAATAATCCATTACATGAATATGCCACCTTCTTTTTCCATTCATCAGTAGACTGTTGGGTTGCTTTTGCTTTTTGGCTATTGCAAATAACACTGCTTGGAGCATGAAAGTACACGTATCTGTTTAAGATCCTACTTTCAAATATCCTACTTTCAAATGGATACCAAGGGATAGAATTGCTTTATCACATATTTAATTTTTAATTTTTTGAGGAACTACCATACTGTGGTGGTGGTACCGTTGTATGTTCCCATCAACAATATATAAGAGTTCCATTTTTATTTTAAAAGTTTCAATTTTACATGTTTGCCAACACTTGCTTTTTGGATTTTTAAAAACAATAACCATTCTAATGGGTATGAAGTGCTATTTTATTGAAGTTTTTATTTTCATTTCCCTGATGATTAGTGTTATTGATTATCTTTTCAGTGAGCTTATTGACCATTTGTATACCTTTTTTAGAGAAAAGTCTGTTCAAGTCCATTGCCCATTTTTTAATTGGGTTATTTGATTTCTTGTTACTGTTGAATTGTAGGAACTCTTTATATACTCCTATTCTGGATATTTACCCCTTATGATATGCAAATATTGTCTCTCATTCCTTTGGTTCCTTTTCAATCTGTTGATTGTGTCCTTTGATACGCAGAAGATTTTAACCATGAGGCAAGCCCAGTTTATTTGTTCTTTTGTTCCTTTTGCTTTTGATATAAAAGCCAAGAAACTCTTGTGAAATAAGTGAAATAAGCCAGATACAGAAAGACAAATATATGTCTTTCTCATTTGTGGAAGGTGACATATATAAACTATGATAAATGTGTGGGTATTGTATTACTTGGTACATAGATAGTCGCAAATATTGTCTTCACTTAATTATATCCTCCACATAATAATATACCCTTCTTTTTTCACTTTATGATTATTGTCATAAATCCCATGTTAAATGATAAAATATTTGTTTTCATGTAAACGTAGTAAGTGAATATGGCAAAATGTGAAAAATTGTTAAATCTTATAAATTAATTAATGAAATGAAAATTAAAAACAATTGTTGCCAAATCCAATGTCAAGAAATTTTTCCCTTCTTTTTCTTCTAAGCATTTTATAATTGTAGATCTTACATTTAGAGTTGCATAATATTTAGCAATCTGAATGTATCATACTTTAGTGGTTTTGCTATTATAAACAGTGTTTTAATGCTTTTATTTCTGTAGGATTGATTCCTACAAGTTGAACTGCTAAGGCAAATAAATTAACAATTCACTTTTAAGGTAGCCAGGAAGGTTAGGATTCAAGTATACATTTTGGTTAATAAATGAAGTAAATAGGAAGGTAAAAAATTGTGGGAGACTTAAGCACTTTCGTCTGAATATACAAGAAAAGAATTTATTTGAAAAGTAAGGAAAAACAGAAGGGCTGTTTTTAAACAGCAATGGTGCTCTTACCTTCATTTCAGACTTGCTTTATATAATCTCTTCCACCAAAAGTAGGTTGATATTTTTATCTGATGTGAGGAAGGTGAGAACTGGTTTGGCCTGCCTCTCAAAGGCGTGAAAGATACACATTGGTCTGTAACGCAGCTCAGCAACAGGGCTAAGAAATTGGCAGCATGACATTGTAAGTTGTCACATTGCCCTACTATTGTCCTTGCTCTCTAGCCAGCTTGGTTGTAAAGGCAATGGTACATGGTGGCACAAGGCAAGCTCCCAATGATCACCTGGCCCACAGAGTCCCTTCTTTTCCATAATTCTGTTAAATGTATCTTCTTATGGATTTTAATATTAGAAAGTATAATATCATAAGGATATATCAGATACATAAATCATAACAGTGTTTGAGTGTAGGTCTTTATAGAAAGTTTCAAGATCTGCAAATAAATGTCAATCCTTCCTTTATTTTCTAGACTTCCTGGGAATGAAAATGATTGGTGAGCTATTGAGGATGTCAGGTGCCTTCTTCATGCGGCGCACCTTTGGTGGCAATAAACTCTACTGGGCTGTATTCTCTGAATATGTAAAAACTATGTTACGGGTAAATGCAAATAACTACCAAGTAAATATTTTCTCTTCGCTGATATTTGCTCTAAGTTCTTAACTTCTGGATAGGCCACTTAGCTATTCCCCTCCTCCTCCCAAAGAATGTTCAGAACCTCAGTGATCTGTTTAGTTTCTGTGACTCTCTTATTTAAGTTTCACTATAAGCAGTGTTTGTTCAGAGGGGTGGGGAGGGAGTTGGGGAAAGGGAGTCAAAAGAAGAATTTATCATTTGGAGAGTAGGCAATGGGTTTTGTGTTTTTTGTTTTGTTTGTTTGTGTTTTCTCTTTAAAGAATGGTTATGCTCCTGTTGAATTTTTCCTCGAAGGGACAAGAAGCCGCTCTGCCAAAACATTGACTCCTAAATTTGGTAGGTCACTGACAGATGAGAAATTACAACCCCAAAGACTTTAGGTGTAGTATAAGTATGTCTGCTGAATAGAAATTGACACTGTATGGCTATAGAAATTATTTAATTTCTAAGTGTGTTTAACTGTTTATATTCATGGCTTAGTGTAAATGTACACTTTAGTCCTGTTTGTATACTCTTGTGTACTGTGCTCCTCAATATATATAAAACATTTCTCTCCATGTTTAAAGGTCTTCTGAGTATTGTGATGGAACCATTTTTCAAAAGAGAAGTTTTTGATACCTACCTTGTTCCAATTAGCATCAGTTATGATAAGATATTAGAAGAAACTCTTTATGCATATGAGCTTCTAGGGGTTCCTAAGCCAAAAGAATCTACAACTGTACGTAAAACATAACCAAACTTGATTTTATGTGAATTTAGAAAATGTGCTAACTTACACATCAACTACTTTCTGAATTTACTCTGTTTTTTGTTCTTCTCCCTTATTGTGTTACTATGTTAGGGACTCTTGAAAGCCAGAAGGATTCTGTCTGAGAATTTTGGAAGCATCTATGTGTACTTTGGGGACCCTGTGTCACTTCGATCTCTGGCCTCTGGGAGGATGAGTAGGAGCCCATATAACTTGGTTCCAAGGTACAAGGCCTATGTTTTAATATCTGAAGCAGCAGGAAGGACTAAAATCTAAACGTATGAATTGTTATTTTTCCGTTGACCACTTCTAAGACTGAAACTTGGTTTCCTTAGATCATATAGCAAATTATCACGGAAGCATTGTCATTCCATTTTCATCCATGGAAAGCTTCAATTAAAAAAGAATTATGTGTTTGCCAGAAAAAATGGCTAGCTGTGGAGATATGTATGTCAAATGTAGGAAGTGAGACAATGATTGTTCTTTAAGACACTAACTTGAGGGAAGAATAATGCTGTTATTAACAAGTTTATGTATGAGTATTGTTGAGCCATATTGCTAGGCCAGCCAAACTATGTACTAAGTATTATTTTTGATCCTAGAAAAGATTACATAACAATGCATGTGAGTCCCTCTTCTCAATAAGATTATGGTTTTATGGACAAGAAAATGTATTAGGTTCTTTCAGAATGTAAGTATAGATACACATTTGGGCTTTCTTAATTTAGAGACGTACTCCTGGAGAAGTAGGGAAAACAAACCATGTACCTAGTTAGGCCTTATTTGACTGTAGCATTGTTCCCCGTAGTATCAGCACAGATCTAAAAGACCTCACCAGGAGGTGTATTTGTCTTCTCAGAAGCAGGTGTTAGCTTTTTGCTCTCATAGGCTTTTTCTCTGTAGATCTCAAATTGGGTTGGCCACTCTTACTGGCTACAACTTTCACGTTAAGCCACCTTATTATGTGGCTGCTTTTAGGTCACATGTGTCTCCCTGCTCCAGCTAACTCTGTGTAGGCCTTGTCAAATACTTTACAGTTTTGTGAACCATGCCTGAAGAAGCTGTTAGAAGAGGAGCACAGTAGTGCTTGACATGTGCTCTGATGCTTTGCAGGGTAGGGCAGCATGATGGCTCAAAGTGTTGGATTCTGGAAAGATGGCAGTTCATCCTACTGGGGAAGTATTCGTTTTCTGAGATGGTTTCTATTATAAAGCAATATAGTTTTTTTTGGTCTGGAACTGGGAATTAATAGGATCCTATTTCCTTGAATAATTTAATATTTCCTCAGCAGCATACCCTAGAGATATATGCTTACAGGTGACCTGAAAGAATTCAGTTGTCAGAAAGTATTTGGCTTCTAAAGGCCTGTCTTCTCCTATTGTACTTCTCATTTCCAGTTGTCTAAGAAGCAGATCTGTAATTTGATGTTGTGTGTTCTTCATTTTAGGTATATTCCTCAGAAGCAATCCGAGGACATGCATGCCTTTGTCACTGAAGTTGCCTACAAAATGCAGCTTCTGCAAATTGAAAACCTAGTTCTGAGCCCATGGCCCCTAATAGTTGCTGTTCTGCTTCAGAACCGGCCATCCATGGACTTTGATGCTCTGTTAGAAAAGACTTTATGGCTGAAAGGCTTAACCCAGGCATTTGGAGGATTTCTTATTTGGCCTGGTAAGTTGGTGAGACATACATGTAGAGAATGCCCACTTTTAAAAAAAATGTCTTGATTTTAAAAAAGTTAGCCTATATAGGTTGAGAAACCTATATAGGACTTTAAGCAGAGCCTTGCTCAGAGAAAGAAAAAAACAATTCGTTTTCATCACTTGGGTGGTATATTGAACACACCATGTTGATTGTTGAAAGTAATTGTGCACATGACCAGACCCGCTTTTCGGTTCTAAATAGATGGAAGGTTAGAATGTTGTCTCCTTGGCACCTACCAGAGTGGAGGATGAAGACACAGATCTTTGGCATTCTCATAACTCCTTCCATCCCCACCCACCTCTTTTAAACTGTGCTGATTAGCTCCCTGTTTGCCTCCCTGGATTATAAGTATTAAAAGGTTAGTCTTGTAGAACTTAGTGTAATTCTCAGATATCAACTTGATAGAAACCTCATTGGAATTTAAATACTATACTTTAATGTGGGGCATATATGACAATAGTTAGCTAAAGTTGTTTTCAGTCTCTGATTTAAAATTGTACACATTGGGCCAGCGCCGTGGCTCACTTGGTTAATCCTCTGCCTGCAGTGCCGGCATCCCATATAGGCCGGGTTCTAGTCCTGGTTGCTCCTCTTCCAGTCCAGCTCTCTGCTGTGGCCTGGGAGGGCAGTGGAGGATGGCCCAAGTGCTTGGGCCCTGCAGCCACATGGGAGACCAGGAGAAGCACCTGGCTCCTGGCTTTGGATCAGCATAGCACCAGTCATAGCGGCCATTTTGGGGGGTGAACCAACAGAAGGAAGACCTTTCTCTCTGTCTTTCTCTTTCACTGTCTAACTCTATCTGTCAAATAAATAAAAAATAAAAATTGTACACATTACAGTTGGAAGTGTAATTCTTTTAAGGTAATTATTTATAGTCAGGTTCCTTCTGCTCACTCATCAAGCAGGAGTGCCAGGTCAGCGCTTGGTACTTCCAGGGATTCAGAAATGAACAGATGAGAGTCCTGTCCTGGAGGTTCTCCTGGTTTGTAGAGGGCAGTGGCGGGTGGGTAATGTGTAAACCAGTTGTAGGGGCTTAGTGAAATACAAACAAGGGGCTGTGGACACACTGCAGAGGATTCCTGAAATAACTGTGTAATTTCATGCTCGGGAAGATTTCATTGAAATGGTAACTTTTGAACTGATATTAATGGAAAGATAAAAGCTTGTCAGGAAAATGAGAGAGCCTTGCCTTGGTCATATAGGGATTAGGAAATGTGAGATCATAGGGTTTGTAGCCTGTATGTGGCAAGGGCATGATAGAATACTGGCTGTAGGTAAGGGACACAAGATAAGTATGTGGCTGTGGTTAGATTGTGTAGGCCTGCAGACCTTTGGGATCTAAAATCTGTAGTTTATAAGAAGCAATAATGGATTTTTTTAAAGATTTATTTTATTTGAAAGAATTAGGTTGAGACAGAGAGATCTTCCATCTGCTCGTTTATTCCCCAAATGGCCACAACAGCCTTAGCTGAGCCAATCCGAAGCCAGGAGCCAAGAGCTTTTTCCATGTCTCCCACTTGGGTACAGGAGCCTGAGGACTTAGGCCATCCTCTGCTGCTTTCCCAGGCAAATTAGCAGGGAGCTGGATTGGAAGTGGAGCAGCCAGACTCAAACTAGTGCCCATATGGGATGCCGGTGCTATAGACTGGAACTCTAACCTACTGTGCCACTTCGCACCCCACCGTAATAGATTTTAAGCAGAGAACCATGACACATTGGTTTTTATAAAATAACCATTATCAGTTTTAAAGAGAGAATTCAGTGACTGAATGTGGGACTCAAGGAAGAGATGTTTAGGAGGAACTACTAACAGAAGTGCCAGTGAATCACAAGGCTGTCACCAACAGGGAAAGAAAGAGGAGTCAGACATTTGTCCTCAGAATGGTGCTGGTTGGAATGGAAGCAAAGGACATATTAGTTATGATTCAAGGTGGCAAGCAGCAGATGTTAGGAGAGAAGAGTAGGTAAAGTGCTAAATTCGTAACTGTTTGGCTTAGAAATATACAAAATTCTAGGTGTTTTTGCATTTTTATGATGAGATAAATATATGACTATGCTAAAAGTACAATACCTGCAGTTATTAAAAAGTGAGAGTTGGCTGGTATCTAAGTGACAGTCATAAGGTGGGTGTATATATTCAATTCCAATTTTCTTTTTTAATCAGATAGTCCCACATTCCTAAGCATTCTGCTGTCTAGAGCTTTGTATGGTCATTTCATATAATGTAGCATTAACTTGAGCATGGCAAATTAGAGAGGAGTGAACACAAGAGAGTCCAGGAAGAAAGCTCGCCTCTCATGGGCTCCATGAAGCTTTACTTCCCAGTTGAGCAGTAGGCCTTCTTATGTGCCACCCTCTGCCAGATCTTTGATTCACGTTGATGGTAAAATGATTTCCTTTGCTGAGAATATTGGTTATGTATTACCATCTCTTGATTATGCTTCTGCAGTCTTTCCTGCTTGGTGATCTTCAGGCCAGTGAAGTATCAGGTGACGAGTTACCAGGAATAGTTATGGGTCTGCTTCTTTAGTTATCTTTGATGGGGGGAAATCAGGTCTCCTCAACATTGGCTGTGCGTATGCCAGGACTATGCCACTTTGAGTTGCCCTTTCATCCACCTACAAAGTGATACGCCTTCCATTTTGGCATGGGTCAAAGTAGGCCATATGTGTGAGTGTCTGTGTGGGAGTATGTGTGTGTGGGAAGTGTGTGTTAATGTACTCACACACTGATCTTGGACCTTATTGTCTTAGTATTCTTAAAATCACATGCATGTGATTATCCAGGATGTACTTTCCTAGTATACAATTTTGGATTCCCAAGGGCATTTCAGATTTGAGGTAGCCATGACTGTATATTATGTGTCCTTAGAGATTTGGTTTATGAAATAGTACTTTTATTTATTTATTTTATTTGAAGGAAGGGGTAGAGAAATCTTCCATAAACTCCCTAAATGCCTGCAACAGCTGGGCCTGAACCAGGTCAAACAGGATGCCATAAACTCAGTCTGGGGGGCTGGCACACGTGGCATAGTGAGTAAAGCTACTGCCTGCAGTGCCAGCATCTTGTATGGGTGCCGGTTCGAGTCCCTGCTGCTCCACTTCTAATCTGGCTCTGCTGTGGCCTGGGAAGGCAGTAGAAGATGTCCCAAGTCCTTGGGCCCCTGCACCCGCATTGGGGACTGGTAAGAAGCTCCTGGCTCCTTGCTTTTGGATCAGCGCAGCTCTGGCTGTTGTGGCCAACTAGGGAGTGAACGTGGATGGAAGACACCCCCCCCCCACTTCTTTCTGTGTAACGCTGACTTTCAAATAAACAAATATTTAAAAAAGAAAAAAAAGACATTCATTCGGTTTCTCATATGGCTGGCAGAGACCCAAGCACTTGAGTCATCACCTGCCGCCTCCTGGGCCTTTTGCATTAGCTGGAAGCTGGACTCTGATTACATCAGAGTCAGGATTCAAACTCAGGCACTGCTGACTTGGAATGTGGGTGTCTTAGCTGCTACACCAAGCACTTGCCCCTGAAATAGTATTTTTTTAAAGAATTATTTATTTATTTGGTAGGTAGAATTACAGATAGAAGGGGAGAGAGAGAGAGATATCTTCCATCCACCAGTTCACTCTCAAAATGGCCGTGAAGGCCAGGGCTGGGCTAGGCCGAAGCCAGGAACTTTATCCAGGTCTCCCACATGGGTATAGGTCCCCAGGTACTTGGTTTATTTTTTGCTGCTTTCCCAGGTGCATTATCAGGAAGGCAAATCAGAAGTAGAGCAACAGGGACTTGAAACCAGTACCCATATGTGATGCCAGTATCACAGGCAACAGCTTAACCTGCCATGCCACGATGCTGCCCCCCTGAACTAGTATTTTAAAATTATCTTTAACATATAGTATCATGACCTCATTTGGTAGAGACTGAAACCAGTACCTGGCACTTGAAAATAAGTGTCGTTAAGTTAGTAGCACTCCAGCATCTAAGCCACAGACTCCCCACAGTGACCGCCTCATTTGAATGAGTTGTCTTTGTATGTAGATAATGAGCCTGCTGAAGAAGTTGTCCAGCACCACATCCTTCTGCATTCCAACATTGCCAGCCTTGTCAAAGACCAGGTGATTCTAAAATTGGAATCCGGAGACTCAGAAGTGGTCGATGGACTTATTTTCCAGCACATCACTCTGCTCACGTGCTCCACTTACCGGAATCAGTTGCTCAACATTTTTGTCCGTCCATCCTTAGTTGCTGTAGCACTGCAGATGACGCCTGGCTTCAGGAAAGGTAACTTTCAGGAATACTGAATTTCAGAAGAAACCTGACCTTTCAGTTCCATGTAGGGAGCAGTGTTTGAAGCCTCAGAATGCTCAGCCACTTCTGTGCAGCCCACACAACAACCAGCATTGGGACCTTTATATTCAGAAGTCAGATTTGTTCCCTAAATATGGGGCATCTGCTTTGAATTTTAGAAATGGAAGGATCTTGAAATCTTGTAATTGAAGCCTCTCCTTTTATCCGTAAGAAAAGTTAGGCTTAGAAATTTGTATAATACTCACGGAAGTACCTGGTATTTGAGTACAGTTTTTGAATTTCTCATCTGATGTTCCACACTTGATCTTAGCCAAAAGGCCGAGAAGCGATCATCTGAGGCTCTATATCTGCTGTTAACAGTTCTCATCCAACAGAGCAGACAGGGTGGGTAAACAGTCTGGCAATACAGGGTGTGTACTGGATGCACGGTAGCATTCTGGGTGCATTGAGGGGTGTAAACGTGTGTAAAGCTCAGTTCTTGTTTACGGGAGCACATAGGCAAGGCCAGGGGTTTCAGCTCAAGCTACACATTAGAATTACTAGAAGGTGAGCCTCATCCCAAATGTTCCCATTCGGGTGATCTGAGATTTGGCCAGCGTTAGTGTTTGGTTTTTCAAACTCTGCAGATTATTCTAAGGGAAAGCATTAAAGATAATGATGAACATATTAGAGTGATATAGAGGGATATTAAGAAATTAGTTCCTTTCCTTCTCTAAGGAAACCATGGGATAGGGACAACTGAGATACCCTGGCTTCTAAGATCGTGGTATCTTGCTCGTTATTACACTGTCTGATTAGAGGCCTCCTTGTGATTTAGATTCAGCCGTGAAAAGTATACTAGACTATAATTTGCTCGGCTTTAGCCTCCTTTAGGGGAATTCTTACTCTCCTTGTTGTATGAATAAAAATAGGCTTTTGAAAGACTGCATTTTGGAGTATCATGGTTGTCTTGTGCTCCCTGAAAGTTTCAAAAGCAGTGTTATAATTTTATATCATGACTTTATTTCCAGAGGATGTCTACAGTGCTTTTCGCTTCCTACGTGATGTTTTTTCAGACGAGTTCATCTTCTTTCCAGGAAACACAGTAAAGGTAAAAGGCCTTACAACAATAAACAAGTATGTTTGCAAGTTCTAGGAACATTAGGCATGAATTTGCAGATGTGTCTCAGACAGTATATTATCCTTGTCCTCAAGGCCAAGTGGGACAGATTTAAAGAGAAACTTGGATACCTGCAGGTCAGCTGACTCTAGTTTTGTTCTGGGTCAAATTTAATAACTTAGGGATATTTGGTGAGAAAATGGTTACACTTTGAAACATTATTGCAGCCACTGTAAATAAACCAACTGTTTTAGTAAGCATTTAAAATCAGTATACATTTTCCTGTTAGTAACTTTTTGGGATGGGTCAGCCAAGCAGATACCATTTTTTTTTTAAGAGTTGTGGTCTTGCCTGGTTTTGTAGACAGCTGAGGAGTGGTCAGCCTCCTAAAGTGGACTTCTGGTTTGTAGGGGTAGGGAGTGACAGAATGGGCACAATAGAAGCTCGTTTAGGTTTTTATATCCTGTGCAATGGAGAACAAATTTAATTCTGTAGGGAATGAGGACAGGGATATCAGTTTTTTGCACAAAAACATGATTCTAAGTATTTTTAAGATTTGTTGGGCCGGTGCCGCGGCTCAATAGGCTAATCCTCCGCCTTGCGGCGCCGGCACACCGGGTTCTAGTCCCGGTCAGGGCACCGGATTCTGTCCCGGTTGCCCCTCTCCCAGGCCAGCTCTCTGCTGTGGCCAGGGAGTGCAGTGGAGGATGGCCCAAGTACCTGGGCCCTGCACCCCATGGGAGACCAGGAGAAGTACCTGGCTCCTGCCATCGGATCAGCACGTGCGCCGGCTGCAGCGCGGCGGCCATTGGAGGGTGAACCAACGGCAAAGGAAGACCTTTCTCTGTCTCTCTCTCTCTCTCACACTGTCCACTCTGCCTGTCAAAAAAAAAAAGATTTGTTGTGTGCACTTTCTGTTTACAGTTAAGGAATGTGACTGTGCAAAGTAAAAAACTCCATCAATCAAATCATGATTTCTAAGGCTTAGAATTGTTTTTTATGTATTTGCTGTGTTGAAATTCAACATTTTGCATGTTAGAACAAATGTTCCCCTGACTTTTTTTTTAACCAACTAGGATTTTTTTGGGAGTGGATGTGGAAATTAGCTGGTATTCTCTTGTCTGAGGACATGTGACTGTATATTTTGAGATTGGCAGTGTACCCATGAACCTGAAATAGTGGATGCCTTATGGGAACTCCTTTCCCTTTTCAGGACTTTGAAGAAGGTTGTTACTTGCTTTGTAAAAGTGAGACCATACAAATGACTACACGGGACATTCTAGTTACAGAGAAAGGAAATGCTGTGTTAGAATTTTTAATAGGACTCTTCAGACCTTTTGTGGAATGTTATAAGGTATGTAACTTATTTGTCCTTTAACCCCTCACCCCCACCCCTATAACAAATTGTAGGACTCCCACCCTGTGCTTATTTCTGGTATGAAAGGGGAGTGTCTTCCTCAAGTGAATGGTAGAACAGAGACACTGATTCATAGAATAGATGATTTCACCTCTTAAGGGAGACCTTGCTCCCTGCAAATGGAGGAGATGTGGTCCATTACGGATCCAAGAGAACAGTAGCTTCATGATGTCTGGAGCTCAGTATTCATGTGACCACAGTTACACCTAAGCATTGTGTCACATTGTATGTCTATCGTTCATAGGGAATAGCAAGGTGTTTGATACATAGTAGGCATTCAGTAATTGTAAAACTTGAATAATAACATAAAATCAATTATTTATATTACTGAATGCTAATATTGAAAAGAAAAAGCTCAAATGCAGGTATCTGAAAGTTTGTCAGAGCTCTCAAGAGTGGTTAGGTATAGGGAACAATTCCAGCAGGAATTGGCCCAGAATTCAGAGGGAATGAGGAATTTTGAAATCTAAACCATAGGGGGAGAAGGGGCCCTTATCCATATTGTAGAGAGGCAAATTTGGTGGTTCTCATTTCTTTATCTATGTGCACTTTATGCAACTACTGAACTGATTTCCTGGCAGAGCAGTGATTGTGATTAATGAAATAACCCCTGTCAGCCTCCTTACACAGCCTAGCACTTTTTAAGTGCCAGTTCCACCTTTAAGCACCTTTCTGCAATAGAAATCATCAAGTTTTTAGGGCTTCCCACTTTGTTAGATGTATTTAGAGAAAGACACAAAGTTGCCAGTGCCACGGCTCCTAGGCTAATCCTCCGCCTGTGGCGCCTGCACTCCGGGTTCTAGTCCCGGTTGGGGTGCCGGATTCTGTCCCAGTTGCTCCTCTTCCAGTCCAGCTCTCTGCTGTGGCCCAGGAAGACAGTGGAGGATAGCCCAGGTGCTTGGGCCCTGCACCCACATGGGAGACCAGGAAGAAGCACCTGATTGCTGGCTTTGGATCGGCGCAGCACCAGCTGTAGCGGCCATTTGGGGGGTGAACCAATGGAAGGAAGACCTTTCTCTCTGTCTCTCTCTCTCACTGTCTAACTCTGCCTGTCAAAAAAAAAAAAAAAAAAAAAAAGAGAGAGAGAAAGACACAAAGTTGTAAAAACCTGGCCCCTTGCTCTTTCAAGTAGCATATGATATAGTAACATAGCAATGAACTTGCAAAGTATCATAATGAAAAATTAAGTTTTTTAAAGTGTCAGTATTATTCCAATTTTTTCCCTAATTATAAAAACCAATAAAAGCCCAAAAGACTTGTCCTAAAAATTCCTCTGGTTTTCCCTACTCAGACTGTGTATGTGCGTGTTGGGGAGCTAGGAGGTGGTCTTTATTCTGCTCCACTCTGTGTCTTTCTCACGAGGGAGAATGTAAAGGTATTTACTGTTCTGTTGTATTTGGCAATCCTTTTCCCCTTTTACTCCTCTCACCCTCCCTCTTATAATCAGCTACTTTGCATATACCTCTTGAAAGAAGAAGAAGAACACTTCACTGAGAAACAGTACTTGGCTGCTGTTAGAAAATTCACAAGTCAGCTTCTCAATCAAGGTCAGTCACTTCTTTGGGTATTTCTTTTACTAGAGAACAAAAATGCAGTCCACTAAATTCTTCTTCTCCATTTTTTAGGTGCCTCTCAGTGTTACGATGTATTATCTTCTGATGTACAGAAAAATGCCTTAGCAGCTTTTGTGAGGCTTGGGGTAGTAGAGAAGAAGAAAGTGTAAGTACTGTGTGAGATCCCATGGGTGCTTGAAGGGGCAAAGACAACAAATGATGCTTGATTACACACTTCAGGGAGAGGTAGAAATGTATGATCTAGTACATGTTACATTCTGCTTTATTTATCCATCCCCTAATGAGTTAAGCCAATCTGTTATCCTTGGTTCACTCCCCAAATGGCCACAATGGCTGGAGCTGCACCTATCTGAAGCCAGGAGCTTCTTCTGGGTCTCCCACATGGGTGCAGAAGCCAGAGAAGTTGCACCATCTTCTTCTGCTTTCCCAGGCCATAGCAGAGAGCTAGATTGGAAGTGGAGCAGCCAGGACTCGAACCAGTGTCCATATGGGATGCTGCCACTACAGACGGCAGCTTTACCCACTATGCCACAGCGCCGGCCCCTATTGTGAAATTTTTATTTTATGGAAAAATTAATCAAAAAAAGAAGTACTTAGGCAAGTAATTTGGCTTTGACCTAATACTCAAATTTGCAGATTAATTACAAGGAAGATTTTTATGGAGTGTAGTGTGTGGGTTTATAGGTGGTTGGATCTTTAGGCAGATGCATAATAGATAGATATTTTAAGTGAATAAAGTTAACAGTGATAAAACTGAGTGCGTAAACTTTCACAGTCATATCTTTTTTTTTTTTTTTTAAGATTTTTTATTTTATTTGTTTGTTTGAGACGTAGAGTTAAAGAGTGAGGGAGAGACAGAAAGGTCTTCGTCCGCTGGTTTACTCCCCAGATGGCTACAACAGCTGGAGTTGGGCCGGTCCGAAGCCAGGAGCTTCTTCCAGGTCTCCCATGTGGGTGCACTGGTGCAAGGACTTGGACTGTCTTCTACTCTTTTTCCTGGGCCATAGCAGAGAGCTGGATTGGAAGAGGAGTGGCTGGGATATGAACCAGCGCCCATAGTGGGTTCTGGCGCTGCAGGTGGAGACAGCTCACTGTGCCACGGTGCCTGCCCCACACAGTCGTATCTTTTATGTGGTCAGAAGTTTTTGAAGGACAAAGCCAGAAGGTAGAACAGGAGCAGGAAGCCTTTCAACCACTTGAGAGTAGTCTTGAGGTGGACTATTTAAAAGTGGTCTTTCTGTTTATATATATGTGTGTCAGGAACAATGTATAATAATGTTATACGTTGTTCATTTGTGCGATAACAAGGTTTGTTTCTTTTCTTCTAGAAATAATGATTATATATTTAGTGTGAATGAACCTGCCACAACCAAATTAGAAGAAATGCTTGGTAAGTACAGTTTAATAAAATGATTTTTCACATTGTATTTAGTAGAATACAGTATATATAGAATATGTATATAGTAGAACAATAAAATATACTGTGGCACAAAATATCTTATTAAAATGAACAACAGTTAAGTTCAAATATAAATAGGGAACTATTTATATAGTCTAGAATTTTTTCAAGGAATCTAAAGAGAAAGGACAAAGGAGATTAACAAAGAAAACACACGTATATATGGGCAGTCTAATACAACCTAGTCAGTTCCTAACTTGCCTAACTTCAGACAGAGATACATACATTTCACATCTAGTCTTCATGAGAACACCTGTCATTCATCCTTTGATGCATGCCTTTTCCTCTCCATGCTTGGATCCCTTCTTTCCCAGGTGGAGGATTAGGGTCAGAGTATACATTTTTCTGACTTTCTAAACTTTTAAAGGCTGACAGCATATCCTTGAGTGGCTAATCCAACCCTTACTCTGCTCTAGATCCTTTCAAGTTTATAAAGAGGTAGAGCAGCCCAAAAAATGCAAGGCCATATTTTTATATGTCCTGTAAGAGTTAAGAGTGTTGGCATAAACAGAAAGATAAATGACTGGAAGAGATGTAGAACATGTCTTATGGGACTGGTGGGATAATTTTAAGGGGAAGGTATTAACATTTGAATAAAATAGTTGTCTGTAATTCAATACATTTGTCAAATCTGCATTGATAAGTGTTAGATCATTCTGTTGGTATCAGTCGAAAACTAGGGCAGAGCATATGGATAAAGGAGAATGGTTGAAGGAAAAGGGTAGAAAGGCAATAAAATAGTTGATGCAGATTTGGAACTAGACCTTGTAGAAGGAAATATATTGATCAAAATATCAGCCTTCTATTTACATTAACCTCGAAACTCAATTCCAAATATGCTAAGAAATCTAAAAACCCCATTCTGTAAAGATGAGGGAATCCCATTCTTAGTCATGGGAAGCAGTTGTAACATGTCTGGGAACATCCTTCAACACACTAAACTTAGATTTTGAAGAACATGGTAGGTTCAGCTCCTGAGTCTGGCTCCGCCCTGGCCCTGCGGTGCTGCCTCATCATCACCTCCTGGAGCATCGGCCGCTTCTCCGGCTGAGTGGACTAGTGTCCCTGTTGGGCTGCTCAGCCTGTAAAGCTCTGTACAGAGTCTCCTGTCTGGGACAGTAGCATCAGAGACAGTTGTATGAGGAAGAGCAAAGCCAATGTCATTTCACTAGCTATCTTTTTTTTTTTTTATCTTAGGATGTAAGATACCAATAGGAAAACCAGCCACTGCAAAACTTTAATAATAATCACCAATTACGGAAAATTTGGTCACATAATTACTGTCATCAAAGGACTGTTATTACAACAACAGGGAAGTAAAGGAAGAGATTATCTTCTCGTCCTTCGCAAGACTCCGAGAACAGAGAATTCAGTAGAGAGGAAGAAATGATCAATGTGAGCAATCAGTGTAATCTTCCCCACTACAATGGTTAAAAGGCATTTGTATCCAACAGTGTGTGTTTAAAATAAAACAATCTTTTCAAAACATGTTTGGAAAAGCAAAACTCAACTCTGATTTCATTAACACTTTCAACTTACTACATGTGCTAAACTTTTATGTTGACTTCCGAATGAAAGTACAACATCAACCTAAGGGCTCTGACTATTCAAAGAAAACTGCTGGTGCCGGCATTGTGATACAGGTTAAGCCACTGCTTGTGAAGCCAGCATTCCGTATTGGAGTGTCACTTGGAGTCCTAGCTGCTCAGCTTCTGATCCAGCTTACCACTGATGCTCCTGGCAAGTCGGTGAAGATGGCCCAAGTATCTGGGCCCTTGCAACCCACGGGGGAGACCAGGATGGAGTCCTGGCTCCTGGCTCTAGCTTGGCCCAGGCCTGATTGTTGCCATTTGGAGAGTGAACCAGCGGATGGAAGAACTCTCTCTCTCGCACTCTCTTGCTGTAATTCCCCTTCCAAATAAATTAAAATCTAAAAAATAAATCAATAAAAGAAAACTTTGAAAGAGTTAAGCCATGTGAAAATCTGAAATGCTCCAAAATCCCAAACTCTTTGAGCACTGACATGATGCCATGAGTGGAAAATTCCACAGCTGTTCTCCTCTGATAGTTCACAGTAAAAATGCATCATGTACTAAAAATATTATGTAAAGTTACCTTCAGGCTGTGTGTATAAGATGTATATGAAGCATAAATGAGTTTTGTGTGGAGGTTTGCATTCTCTCTCTCATTGTGTATATGAAAATATTCCCAAGTCTGATACACTAATGCTCTCAAACATTTGGGTGAGGGATTCTTGCCTGCATCTTGCATTTCTTAAGATTTGCTTTAAATAAAGTTGCCTTAAGGAGGAGTTTGACAGAGGTAAATTTTCTAGCTTTAAGTTTTGCCACCTGAGGACCTTAATAAATAAAAATGAATTAGTTAAAGTATGTACAACAAAGAGATGATATGTGACCTGTCATAAATATACTTACAGGTTCAAGGGAAGAGAAGTTTGAAGTAAGATGGGCGAACACTGGGAGCCTTGGCAGTTTGCTGTCTCTGGATGTGACATTTAAGCTAAGAATTGGTTTGATCAAGAGGCAATCCTCAAGGTTTTGGGGTTGGGATTGGAGTGATAGATGAAGAAACAGTGGGGTAGGGTGTTCAGAGGAACATTAATGATCATAATGTCCCGGGGTAAGTTCTGGAGGACCTAAAAGGAGATCAGTGTGGCTGGAACAAGAATTGCCGATAGTGAAACTGATGAGAAGGGAAGGGTATCAGTCGGCTTGGATCAGCACATGAAATGCTGTAAGCTGGGCAGTTTAAACACTGATGATGTTTCCCATAGTCCCGGAGGCAGGAAGTCCAAGATCAGGGTGTCTATAAAGTAAATTCATTCCGAGGCCTCTTCTGGACTTGCCCACATGTCCTCTTTGCAAACTCATGGAGAAGAAGCAAGCTCTCTGGTGTCTACTTGTAAGGACACTAAACCCATGGTGAGGGCCCCATCCTCATGACTTCATCTAAACCAATCACCTTCCAACGGCCCTGTCTCCAAGTAGAGACACAACATGGGTTAGGACTTCAACAGAAGAATTTGGGGGTGATGGGACACCCTTCAGTCTATAGCAGGAGTCAACATATACTATGGCTTAGAGACTCTCTAAAATCTGAATTGGAGTTGATCGTGACATAGGGATTCAATGAAATGTTTCTCAAAATGTAGTTTGGAGCTATCTGTATCAAATTGTCTGGAATGTGTTTTTGTTTCCCAGAGGCCGGGCTGTATTTTGCATATTCAGGTTTAAGACCCATTACTCTAGAGCGTGCATTGATGATGGGGGTGGAGGTGGAGAGGGCTTCTGTGTGGCTTTGCTTGAGGCTGATATTCTGTAAGCCCAAGAAGATTCATGTGTATTGAGTTGATAAGTCAATTGGACAGTGTTCCTGGCTGAGGATTTTACAGCAAGGCTACTAAATTGGTAAAAAGTTGTTGTCCTCCAAGGAGAGCCAGGCTGAGTCTAAGTCAAGTGGGAAGCAGGGACCAGGACCATTTCTTGTTTTGCAGATGTGCCTCAGAAAGAATCCCATACGTCCAGTTTAGTTATTTATGCTGTGGTTGCACATGTTGAAAACCAAGATGACCTTTATTTACATAGATGTGTTTGGAACCCTGTCTTGGGCAAAGACTAGTGAGTTTTTGATGCAAATGGCCAGCCCTGTGACCTGGCCAGCTCTGGCATTAGAGGCTGGCAAACAGGTAGTGTGTGTATGTTGGGGTGTAGGTGGTGGATGCATGTGGTGCAGTAAAAAACAAACAAGGCTTCGCAGCAGAGGCAGCTCTAGGAGATGGTGTGGAGGACTTACTGCTTCTCAGTCTCTAGCAGCCACCCTCCTGAGGTCCTCCAAGTAAAGTTAAAAATCTCAGTCAAAGAATGGCATGCTTACTAGACTAATGAAGCTTCAAAGCACATACTTCTGCCCCACACCACACCTGTTCCTGCATAGACCCATACCATTAAACCACCTTACCGACCCTGAGTTCCTCCACTTCCTCCTGCCTATAATTCTGGAGCTGCCACTGCTGCCTTGACGTGAGTAAAAAGACCTACAGCATCTGGGGTTCCAAGGCTTTCTCCAAACACAGTATATAATGTAGTGGCTAGGAAAATAAGGTCTAGAGTTGGACTAGGTTTGAAACCCAACCCTACCGTATACAGATGCTCTTTGACTTACGATGGCAAGTTGAAAATACTGTAAGTTGAAAATGCACTTAATGTACCTGTGATCATCACTGCTTAGCAACACAATACACTGTAGCATATCCGTTGATTGCCCTCATGAGTGTGTGGCTGACTGGAAGCTACAGCTCACTGTAGCTGCCTGGCATTGCAAGAAAGTATTGTACCACATACTGTTAACCCAGGAAAATAGCAAAATATGGCAGTATTACAAAGTCAAAAATCAAAAATTGAACTATTAAGAGTACCATCTGTACTAGCTGTGTGTGATCCTCTGCTTTACTTTTTAACTTTTTATTAAAGAGACAGACACAGAGCAGTCCCATCTGCCTGTTTGTTACCCACATTCCCTCAACCGCCGAGGCTGGGACACGCGAAAGCAAGAGCTGAGAACTCAGTCCTCGTCTCACACGTGCACTCACCTTGAGTTATCACCTGCTGCCTGCGAGGGTGTGCATTAGCAGGAAGCTGGAATTGAAAGCAGAGCCAGGACTCAAACCTAGACACCCTGACATTTCCCAAATGGTGTCTTAACTGCTATGCCAGACGCCTGCCCCCTGTGTGATTTACTTATCTCTTGTCAACACATGAGTTTCAGATCATAGCTGTAGGTAAAATATTTGAAACATTGCTTGGTGTTAAGTGTAAGCTGTTCCTACTGTTACTTTACTAATTGGGAGAATGAGATTGGATGTCTTCAGAGTAACTAGTACAGCCATTAACATTTGCATCCCTGTCCCACCACTTAGAGAACCTGCCCCAGCCAACTACTGGTCTCAGGGCTTTAGGTGTGCTGCCCTGCCTCTGGCTCTTACAAACATCTACCACCTTCCAGGTTCAGCCAAGCCATAGTAGGAGACACAACTCTTTCTCTGCATCATCAGTAGAATGGAGTCATTCACTGTGAGGTAGAAAGTAGATTTTGATGTCACATTTATTATTATTTTTAAGTAAAGTTACCAGGCTGACAGAAGTATGAATTTCCCATCAGTGAGTTCTAACACATGTTTTTGGAGCGCACGTGGACTGATTGCTTTCTGACAGTTCTGTATAGAGTCAACTTGGGATTTCTCTTTACTATTATCTTGATCAGTCACCTCTTCCTTGGACAGCATCCCTTCCTGTTTACTCATGTTGGTGAAGCCCATCTTTCAGGTGGATAGAAGATTTTTTTGCAACTGTTAAATAAGGATAAGAAGAGTACCTGTTTTGGTGGTGAAGTTGAAGTGTATCTATCAGCAGCCAGCATTCACTAGTGTGTAGAAATATTATACATGAAAATCATGATAATTTTTTTTGTTGGCTATTGTCTGTTATCACACATCTGGGCAGAGATTTGCCCTGCTCAAGTGTGACCTGGGAGTTCCTCCCTTGGTGGAAACCTGCTTTGTAGCTTGCACACTTTTGTCAGCAAGGTATTTCACAGCAGAGCAGAGAAAAATTGAACCCTAACAATTTATTGACTCATGCTTCCCTCAACTTTCAGAGAAATCAAATGGGTTTATGGGAAAGAATCTATACTCTTTAAGTATATATAATTCCTGAAGTAGAATAGAAGGTAATGTTGTGATCAAAAAGCTGAAAGTTACTTTGATGCAGTGTGCTATTGGTTGCAAACAACAGCCTCTGAACTGGAGAAGCTGAAGTCGCCTTGGGACCTGGGCCCCCAAATGGAAACCCCCAGTAAGTTGGCTGTGCTCCCTCTCCGAGGCGAAACTCATGACTTCTTGTTCTATTTTGTTAATGCTTATGGAGCGCTTACTATGTGCCAGGTGCTTTCCAGGTATTTAATCCTCCTAGCAACTATGAGGTAGACACCATTAGGATGAGTCCCCCTTTACCAAGAAGGAAAGTGAGATGCATGAAAGAAATATGACGCGGAGAGTGTTTCCCCACTTTCCCACTTTGTTTGCATTTTACTGATGCTTTCTGTGACAAAGAACCATGGTTCTAACAAGACTATAAAAAAACAAGTTTTATTTCTTTAAAAAATGACAACTCTCAGGCCAGAGGGCTGACTTCTAGAGTCACAGGAGCCCAGTGCCGGCGCCAAGGAGGAAGCCAGGTGTGCAGTGGGAGGGGGGAGCCGCCTGGCCCACGGATAGAGGAGGCCAGCAAAAGTTGCTGGAGCTCCCCCTGGAAACAGCTAGACAGGAAGCAGCCCTGGGGTGGGGTTCTGAGCCCTGAAGCTGCAAGCTGGGACTGCAGTTTTAGCGTTCCTGAGACCCTGTGTGTGCTTCTCTCCATCTCATTCTCCCACTCCTCTTTTCATCATTCTTTGTCTCTCTGTGTGTCTCTTCCTCTATTTAAAGTCATCCTGGTGAGGCCTGGTTTGTGTACCTACTGCATATGTGGATGAGTAACACTTTGACGTTTTTGTTACCTGTCTCCTTACATTTTTCCTTTTCGCAGTTCAAACAAAGCAGCTTCATCTTCCTTGTCTTGGGAAACTGGCAGCAGGTGGAAGGCACAGATGTGGCAGGAAAACATTTTCCTCTCAGGCCTTTGTCTGCAGTGATCTAAAGGCCCAGCGGAACAGCATTTGCAGGAAGAGGCAGAGCATCACGAGAGGAGCAGAGGGAGAAAGGCCGCCTTATCCCCTTACCCTGAACCATAAAGAGAGAAGTTTTTTAGGGCTGGGAGCCAGCGAGGCCCTTAAAAGTCTCAGTCTTAAAAAAGGTCTTCGAGTCATAAACAGCAGAGAACACACAGAATGGCTGAGTCTGAAGGATCCCCTGGGATGGGCAAAAGGGACAGCTCTGCAGTACCTTCCATGAACCTGAG